CCCCAAAACCCCAAAACCCCAAAACCCCGTTTTGTACAATATTTTAACAATAATTTTAAAATTTTAAACAACAAGACTGTTATAAAATGGGGAATACTTGCAAATGTTATAAAGAGAATGAAGATCGGAGTATGGAGGTGCAATCATTCGGAGGTACGGGCAAGGCTAGGATAGTTAGAGACCAGTTTAGGGGATGACATGACTTCTTATAGAGTTTGACCATCTTGATATCCACAAAATCATAACTATCCAATGCTTTATTAGGAGATACCTCCGAATAAGACAGTTAAAATAATACTTTTAAGTTAAAACAGCTATCTGCATTGGATAGTACAGAGTGAAGTCGTTCTAAAGTAGAGATGCAAACTTATCTGACGAATTACTTAACTCAAAAATAAAGGTATTGCTCCATTAATTCTGTAGAGAAGGAGAATCTGCTTGATTTGTTCAGTACTAACCCATCATCAGTGACAGAATTTCATTGTCCAGATGAGGACTCAGATGGAGTTGAAAGAATAACCAAGGATCCTATTTACTATGACAGCGGGATCGTCTACAAAGGGCAATGGAGCAAAGCAGAGGACTGCAAAGATGGCAAAGGAATCCAAATCTGGCCAGACGGGAGTAAGTACGAGGGATACTGGAAGGAAAACAAAGCTAATGGCCAAGGCAGGCTCATACATAGGTAATCTACTCAATAAATCATCTCAATAGTGATGGCGATATTTATCAAGGACAATGGCTCAATGACAAAGCACATGGGTACGGTAAATACCTCCATATGAGTGGGGCTATTTATGAAGGCGAGTGGAAGAATGATCAACAATGAGGAAAAGGCAAGGAAACTTGGCCAGATGGAGCTATCTTTACTGGAGAATTTCTAAACGGTAAACTATTCAGAAATAATCTCTATTAGGTAAATAAGGAAGGATTTGGAGTATTCAACTGGGCTGATGACTCCCAATATGCCGGGCAATTCAAGTCAAATAATATTCAAGGTAAAGGCAGGTACCGCTGGTCTGATGGTCGAGAATTCGATGGAGATTGGGTTCAAAATAAAATGAACGGTCGAGGAACCTTCCGTTGGCCAGACGGTAAAATCTATCAAGGAGAATACAAAGATGACAGAAAGGATGGATACGGTGTTTTTACTTGGCCAGACGGCAGGAAATACCTCGGAAACTGGAAAAGAGGAAAACAGCATGGACAAGGAACTTATATCGATGCTGATAAGATTGAAAAAGTAGGAATGTGGAAAGAAGGAGAGCGGATCCATTAGCTTAACTAATTTCAATAAATTTGCGATAAAATGGGGTTTTGGGGTTTTGGGGTTTTGGGGTTTTGGGG